TTATGATTATTAAAAAAAAGAAAATTTCATAATAATTTTAAGACTTCTGAAAATAGCACAATTTTTATTCAAATAACACAATATACAGGGTGTTTTGAAAGTCCGTCAGGAAACTCCGGGAGGTTATTCTACGGATTAAAATAATAGCAGTATGTAATGAAAATTTTTTTCGAATTGTCAGTTTGCAAGTTACAGCTTGTCAAAGTTCATTTTTTTTATTTTTTTATTTAAATAACTTATTTAAATCAAGTTCTATGAGTCCGTCATTTGGCACACCCACTAAGTAGACGAAGCTCTATTGGACCAGTCAGAGAAAAGTTTCATTATGCGCCGTTAGAGGGCACTTTACCAAGAACTCAAAATTTGTTTTGGTCATAACCTTCTTCTCTTGCTAGACATCACAGAAATTATTGAGAAAAAATTATGTACTCTTTATTCACACCGATAAATGTAACCGTTTACCAGGAAATCGAATATCCGAAAAAAATCGAAAAAAAATTCTTCTTATTTATTTTTTTTTGGAGGTATAAACATATTTTGTTGAAATAGTTCTTTTTATTTGACTTTAATGAACCAAATGTTCAAACTGCTGACCGCGTGCAGCTCGACAATAATCCAGCCTGTCGACAAACTTTCTCTGCACATTCCTGATTGTTTCAGGTAGTATTTGCCTGGTCTCATGGCGAATGCGTTGCTTCAGGTCTTCAATGTTGTCCGGTCTGTCACCATATACCTTACTTTTCAAATATCCCCAGAAAAAAGTCAAGTGGGGTTAAATCGGGAGAACTTGCCGGCCACTTAATTTCCCCTGTTCTGCCAATCCAACGACATGGAAATTGATAGTTTAAATAGTTTCTTACGATGGCTGTGTAATGTGGCGGAGCGCTGTCATGTTGAAAATATATTTTAGGACTTATTTCAATCCTTTATGTCTCTGTTAATGACTCCATTCGAAAAGTTCCTGATTAAAGACACTGATTTTGCTGTAGGAAAAGGGAATTATTGAGGCATCACTTTTCATTTTGACTGTTGACACTTCAATAAAAATTAATTATGTTCAGGCGTGTAGACTGCTATCCCGTTGAAAAAAAATATATATTAGGGCTGCTTTCGGTGTGCAGCAAAAATGAAACTCTCTCAATGGTAAATAAAAGTATTTTATATTGAAAACGTTAGTGAAAATGAAGTGTTGTCGGGGTGAGCGTTCGCTGGAGAGTCGTGGTGTGGAGTCGCTTGCAGGCATAAGTATCTGGTCCTTGGCGCCAATCTGTCGTGGAACTTTTCCTGGAACCCTGGTGCGTCCCGCGTCTGTTCTTTGTCCTTGCAACTGTTACACCAGCCAGCGTTAGGCTTTTGACGTAATACTTAAAATGGGTCACTTGCGGACATGTGTACCCACAAATAAATAGGAGTTTGCGGTTTTTTAATCCTTTTCCGAAATTTCCTCTACCAACCCTATATGTAGCACATCATATTAATCAGAAAAACCTAAGCTTTCTTATGGTCCAGTAAAAAAATGTAGTTGCCATTTAAAACAAGGTACCCTATCCCCCTCCCGCCGCCACTGGTTACATTTTTGAAATTTGAATTTCACCAGAAAAACAAAATTAACCTACAGGTATACGAGCGATTTTTCCAAAAATTGTCAGTTTCCGAAATGCGCATGACTTGTGATTGTAAGAAATTACATTGCATTTTACTATTTAGTGGGAATATATTTCCATCATACCATTCTTTAATTTTTAAAAGGTTATTTTGTAATTTAATGTAATCGGATATGGAACATTTGCGAGAAAAAAGTTTAACGTGGTCGGTATAGAGTATGATGTTAATATCTAGGTCAATAGCTATGTCATTGACGTATAAAACCTGACTCATGTCATTAACATATAAAACCTTAAAAGGGGGCCAAGGATACAACCCTGTGGTACTCCAGAAACATCCTGAATGTTGTTAATTTTATTAATTATAAAAATTGGTGCCTAAAAAATCATTAATTTACATGCTCAACCCATTTACCTTTGCACTGCTAAAGCAAACTTTTATTCGTCAACTTTTAAATGCGAAATTTTCCTTTACTGTTTCCCGGCCTTAAAGTCTTAAAAAAGTTAAAATTCCCACGACTCTTGCGAAAGCGTACGGAAGCTCGCCCTCCCAACAGCTTTTCCGTAGTCGTAGGCGTAACGCGTGCACAATGCCACTTTTTCTGGGCCGCATCTACCTCGAGATATTTTGACAACATAAGTGAATAAGCTTTTACAGCGGCCCCAGTTTGGAGGCCCTCTGTAGCCTACGTAGAATAAGAATATATTCCCCGTGGCATTCCGAAATACTAGGGTCCTCGCGCACACGGTGTCCCTCCTCGATAGGATCTCCGTAATTAATGCAGATAGACAGCCAAGAGATCTGCGTTTCACTCAATTTTAAGCTATGGACACATTTTATAAGTATTACGTATACAGGATGGTCATTTCCGTATAACGTTTAGTTCAGTCAAAAAATATTAAGAAATCGTAGATTAAAAAAAATGTACATTTTAAGTAGAACCTATATTTAGTTACAAAACAGAACACAGTCCTCTAACAAAAGTGGGCTAAATCTGAATCTAAAGACCAATTCGTGTTTTGACACTAACATCAAGAGACTCCTTTAGAAAGTGATTTTCGAGATTGAGTGGGCAGTGATTGGAAAACATTGGAAATTATGATCTCATTGCACAATAACCCTGTAACTCTGTAACCTCGAGGTTGAGCGATGGTGTATAACCACAAAACCCGGAATATGGGTCCAGTACTTCACAGGTTCGACACTACATGACTGTGAGTTGATAGGCTTCCATAGCCCCATAACTCAATAACTTTGTACTCTCATCACCCTAAATATACGAGGATGTATAACCACGACACTCTGAGGAATTGCATTTTGAATCTGAAACTCCGTAATACCAAATCCCGGGGTATACAAGCACCTGTAGACCCATAATTTGGGGCATACGATTTATATTACACTCGAGGTTTTTTCTTTTTGTATCTACACTGAAAAGATGTAACAGTTCTTCTTAGAGTTTTTGCGAACAAAATCTTTCAAATAACATGTTACGGGGTTATTGGGTTATAGGGTTACGGGGTTGATAGGGTTACAGGGTTAAGGGGTCGCGTTATGGGGTTACGAGGTTATGAGGTTTTAGAGTTATAATGTTATGGGGTTATGGTGCATTAAGATCATAAATTCCAATGTTTTTCCAATCACCTTCTGGAGGAGTTTTTTCTGTTCTTTTTTTTAGTGTCAATTGCTACCACTCAGTCAACCAATAAAGAAGTGCAGTTTTTGTATGCATTAAATATTCTCGCCAGTTAGTCAATTCGTGGTAGATTTATCGGAAACCACTTTAAACAAGACCAGGTCCCATTATCTATAAGGTTAAAGTAACACTAACCACCAAATATCTGTACATACAAAATACAAACCACACCATTCAAAGATTTGTCGGAAAAGAGGTAAATTTAATTTTAATTGACCACAAATGTCTCACACTGAAAAAGTAGATAGGTAATTGTTACACTGTAAGCTCTGTAACACTTAATAAGTTATTGATGTTTCGAAACTTCTCCGCTTTTATTCTCAAAACTGATTTTGAAATTAAATTAATTTAAACGTGAGTTTTTTAATTTTTTTAATTTCTGCCATTTTGATTAGAATTTTGAGAAACAAAACAAAGTTTTCCAAACGTTAACAACTTGTTGTTATGTTGAAGTGTAATATCTGGTGAACAATTATCTTGCTACAGATTCTGTTTGGTGTTAAGAGGTTATTTACTTGAAAGTTTCTCTTTTCATGGTGACACAAATATCTGGTTAAATAAAAGTAATTTTTTTGAAATTTTTGAAATTTTTTAACGCCGGGAAATATTAATTTCTTTGTGTGGTAGATGACTCAATTAAGTAAAAAATGTAATAAATAATTAAGTACAGGAAATATCTTTAAAAAATGTTTTGTTTTTCCAGTACTATTCTGTACAAAAATATGAAAGCAAGTGAAGTAAAATGCCAAAAGAGAAAAGAAATAGACGGGAATAATTATTTTCAATGTGGTTTGACAGTGATCCCGAAGGTTACAGGGACAGGAAAGGAAATGATATATAAATTCTTGTGACAAAACTAAAGTGACAAGGCATTTGAAGAACCATGTCTCGTTCAGCACTGAAGACTCTGTATTTTTCTATGAACTTACAGACGCCGTTCCTTCAAGCAATATTCCATTAAACAAACTAAAGAACCCCAAATTCCGTAATTCCGTAAATTGGAATCACATGGACTATCCCTAAATGCAGCATTTGATATAATGGAATGATGTACAAAAAAATATATACGCTGCCAATAATATACGACCAGTCAATAGTACGATAAAAGAAAAAATGCAAAGAGTTGGAAAAATCCAGGATACACCATTTTGGTAAACATATGTAGTTTTATCTGATACATATTAGGAGTTACCAGCAAATATATTAATATATAGTTCATGCCTCAACAATTTCTCATACTGTTCATTGTCAACAATAGACATTGAACGGTCATTTTCCCAACACAAGTTCATATTAAGTTAATAAAAACGTAGAAAAGCACGTAGTAATATGTTTTAACTCCTTCCAATATGCCACGGAAGCGTTTTCTCAACACTAAGGTTTGTATAGGTATTTTATCCTCTACTCAGCCTTGCTCTTTGGTAATAGTACTATGTTGCGACATATTTTCTGTAAACATATTAATGTTTTCATTCGTAATCTGACTACGGTCCTGTTAAACTCCGCGCCACACTAGACCTACTTATAAGATTTAAAAATTAACTTGTTCACATCACAAACAGTATTGCCAGGTAAGGAAATTTCTCTCTTTTTATTCAAGACTTGCATAATAATTAAAGTTCTTTTTACAGGATTCTTTATTAGAAGCTCAAGTTCAAATTTCCTATTGGGAGTGTTTTAATTTTATCAACTCACTCACCTATAACGGTAACGAGAATCATAAGACCAAGGACTATCGACAGGACTCCCATGAGGATCAAGTCGCCTAATGGTTCCCCGTCGCCGCTGTCTATAAGTGTTTCGTTGGATGTGAAATTGTCCTGCGAAGTGTTCGACGGCGAGGAAATATTCGAGAAATTCACCCTGTACAGACTCTCCAGTGGCGTCGCGTTCATGATTTGCGGGAATTGGTAGAAGTCTGAAAAAGATAAAATATTATCAGAATTGTAAAATTAAAAAAAGTATATTATGTTTCAGTTTCGCTATAACTTCGAAACAAAAGTAGAGCGGACCTATATTTTAACATTTTTATCTAGAAATTACATGTACTTTCTATCGTCAACGTTTGTAACGAGTCGTTTTGTTTAGACCAGCGATTCTCAGACAGTTTTATAAAATTAAACAACAAAGCATCACTGTGGTGATATCTTGTAGGATAATGTTATTTTTAAATACTTAATTATGGATTAATTTTAAATTATATTATTTCGGTTTTTGGTTTCTCCTTATTCGTGTTTTAAAAATGTTTGGGAACCGCTGATGCAGCGATTTCTAAGATCGCTTACTTTGAGAAGGACTGGCCTGCGATGTTCCTGGTAACGCAAGTAGTGCTGCAACTCCTGCTGCCGCAGTACACCCCCACGTGGTGGCCATACTGCTCCTACTCCTGCTCTTCCTCATCTCCATAGTTCAACGAGTATAGGGCTGAGAACTGGTTACATACCTGTCGACAAACCAGATGTTTATCATGCGAAAACATATTTAGAAATCAGAAAACACATTAGCTTTGTTCGTAGTGGATTAGAATCAGTTTCCAATAGTCAGACACACTGTAGGGAGTTGTTTTGATTTTTTTTTCAGAAACAGTGTGTCCCCGGAAGGGAAACCGCACTCTTGTAAACTTTTTTAATGTTGATTTTTCGAGAAAAAGTTATTCTTGATAAAAAGTTTTGCTTATCTTGGGAAGCCATGGCAGTAATCAAATATGCAGTAAAACATACAGGGCGAAATTTTCCCTAAGCAAAGTGCCTTTAATTTTTGTTTTCCTTAAAAAGTGTATTTAACAAAGTTGTCCGAGAAATCAAGAAATGCTTAAATATGGGGTTTAGTCAGTAAAGAACAACAATTATNATATAACTTCCTAAGGGTGCGTTTTAGGGCACATGTTAATAGGAACTTTTTGGCTTATTTTAATGAGTTATAAATGCAGCAGAAGTTTGGAACCCTATTTTAGAAACACCCTGTATATTAGTTAAATCGCCTTTACATCAGATGTTAAATAACTATCGTGAAATTGAAAATTACGTTGATATCTTATCTTGTACATTGCGCGATGTTAAGCTGCGTTTTCAATTACCTGTTATGTGTTCTACTCCTTTACATTTTAAATTTATTGTATTTTATAAGTTTATTTTATATTTATTATTTGTACTAGTGCGTACTTTTCTTACATGCTTTTTAATTTTTTGTTTTGTTGTTTGCTCTATTTGTTCTACATTTTTTTCTCATTGTTTGCTTCACTTTTAAGCTGTTGTACCTTACATTTCACGTTTTTTCCTCCACTTGAGTAGGTACGGCGGCGGTTTGGACCGACGGACGCCCGAGACGCCGGGCGTCGGGACGCCCGCTTGTGGCCTTCGGTAGTGCGCGATCGCGGGTCGCTCGGTCCCGATCGGCAGGCAGGTACAAAGGCGTCGGAACTTGAGATTGGTGTAAGGTAAATTTATAAACATAAGACAATTAATTCATTTCGCTCGATCATAATTAACATATATCCTGCACATGATTATTTATAACTAATATAAAGATACACAGGTAGCAGAATAATATTTTACGAATTGAAAATATGTAGTTATTTATTAATAATTTCATAGCTACCCACATTACGCCGGACTATATACGAGTAGACGCTGACAATTATTTTTAGATAATTGGGAGTCAAAGAATGGCCATAATCCTGTTTACCAAGATTTCAGGTAAGTATTGTAATTATCTAGCTCACCTTCATGAAAATTTAAAATTTCTTCAAAAAACTGCATAGAATGTTTCAATAATTGTTTGACTAGAAAGGTATAGTATATACAGATCTACAAATAAGAAAATTCGTTAAATGGGCTATTAAAGCGTTCGACAAATAAGTAATGAACAAATGTAGAGTCGAGGCGTCCGAGGAGGTATTACAAGTATATACTAAACCCGTGTACCCTGTGATGTTGCCATAATTGTTTTTATTAGTCTGTCTATACATTTCAATCATTACAGATTTAGTGTTCATGAGATATTTCTATCTCAAAACAGATTAAGGTTTATAAAGATTGCACTCTAAGATTTACTTGCATTTAAGATGTGTTTGAGGAGGCCTTAATAATTAAAAAATATTTATCTGTAATTGACAAAGCCCCAGAGGTATATTTTATATAACATACTTAATTTTAACACATCGTTTTCATTATCAGCATACTTTAGAACTGCAACAGAAAACTGAAAGTTTCAAATAAGAAACGAAAATATATGAACCTAAAAACACCTTAAAACTAATGGAAAAACAGGCATCGCCCAAACATAATTGTAGTCAAGCGATAATACATTGGGGTCATTTACAGTAGGTCAAGTTGCTTTTCCCTTTATAATCAGATCAAAATTTGGGGACAAAATTATATCGGACGTAAATATATCCATATGGCTCGGTATAACGCGTGTATGATAACATAGTTATATGTATGTGTAGTGACAGTATATACACAAACAAGTTCTGAAACTGAAACGACAACCCTTCTATATGTTCTTTGTCTTTGTTCTATTAAAAATATGTAATGGAATAATATTTATTAACTAACAATAACCATCTGGCAATTATCGCCGAGAGTCCCGCAGTGATGAATTAAAAAGTCTTCAATTAAGGGAATTGAAAATGTAATTTTCTATCATAATTCATCATATATAATTATAAAGTTAATATCTAGTTATTTTTATATCCCTTCCCTACAACTAGTGTTAATAACTGATAATTTGACGTGATAAGAGTATTTTGCAATTCAGATTCATGATCAGCAACCCCAAAACATGTTAGATCGCTACTTTCGGCTGGCAATGAATTTAGATTTATGGTGCTGTGTTGTCAGTATATTCAAAAATCGAGAAATGAGTCAAACTACTAAATTTCAACATCACAATTATACAAAAATAAAAATCACTTACAAAAACGTAGGGAGGATACTTTTAAGCGATTATCAATATAAACATTTGAAATTACAGCTTACCCCTCAATATACGGGTCTATTAGCCCCAATGTACCCCTTAATATTATGTATCTATTTTTATTTAATTAAATTTGTTATTTATATAATGCTGACCAAATCTAAAAAATATGAAGGAATATTTTTTATACCTATATATTTCACGATGGATTTTACAGTACACCCAACGTTTTAAGTAAATATCAGAACAATAAAATAAGCTGAGACATATTCATTTCATTTATTAATTACTTTCTCTGATAATGGGACTAATATGTTTACATACGTGACCATATAATAAAAGATATATTAAATATGAGAAAAATAAAGTTAATTCTTTTACGATGTACATTTAAACAACCCTAGCAGATTTTCCTCTATAATCAAGTCTTAAGATAAACATTTGAGATCAAAATTATTTCGAATACAAATAAAACTATATGTTTTTATATATCTCATGTAATATAATAGTTTTAAAATAAATAACATTTTAGACAAGGCCAGCACTTTCATATAAACTCTAGTTGCGATACGACAAAACTTTCATCGTAGATGGCATCTCTTTATTAAAAAATTAATGGAATATATGTTATCCGATAAGTAACGCAGTCACTGCAATGAAAAAACTAATTTGAAACTATAAATATAATAGCTAATTAAATATATTTTTCTATCGAGAGATAATGACTATAACGTTTTAAGTAACCGAATCCCCCCTCAGAAAAATGCTATTTTACTAAAAATCAGATTGAGACGTAAAAATATATAGGCATAATAGTGTTCAATACTACCAAGTAATAATTAAACGAGATGAACGCGCATAACTGGGATACAAATTTTGGTAGAAATATGAGAATAATAGCGAAATGACTTATTATCAGTGGAAATGGACACCATTTTAATACAACAATCTGTATACATTTAAGATTGATACGCAAGTACATTATTTCAAAACGTATTGATAACATTTTATGGAATCATTTAGATGTGACTATTTAACAATCACGGTCAGCAAATGCTTCTTAAAGGTAAAGACACTAGCACTTTTACTGTCAACATATAAAAATACACATCAAAGTGTCCCCAAAATTTGTATTTACCTTTAAACAGACATTGAATGCAAATGGTTTTCGGAATCTCTAGTTTAATAAATACCATATTTACATAGCATTTGCCAATATAGACATATAATTAGTAATGAATAATAATAATCAGCTACTTTGTGTTATAGTCTGGTATTATATAAGATACCTACAATGTCCTAAAATTGTGAATTTTAAACAGTAAAAATTTATAATAGGGAATATAGAGATGGCCATATAATAATATATATAATACCATAAAAATCGATTAAATACAATTTACATTATATTTTTATGTCTATTTATGTCTATTTAAATACACGCATTTAATAACATCTGTCAATAGCATAATAGATCAATACGTTATGGGAGACAAGAAAATAGACACTATATTTTTTTAGTAGGTACTCAGTTTTTCGTCATTACTCTGACTACAATATTATTGACTTCTATAGTAAAATTTTCTATAATAATATACCCAAAATGTGATTATCGTTGCTACAAATAACAATTTTAGTTGCATCCTTTGTTTTCTAATCAAACTTGTATCAGCTTGTTTCAGGGTACATCTAGGCGGTCTTGTAGAATATGGGTAGTAACGGTGAGGAGTATCCACCCTCTTTGAATTTTCAATCGGGCCACCTGCTAGGGGCTGTCATTTTTAACTATTATATACTTACGTTAATTTTAATTTACATCCCCGAGACTGTCGTCAAAAGTAATTCGTGTTAGTTACTTGTTCATTTTGTGAAGTAAAAAAGTAAGCTTTTACGTCTTAATTATCGGTGCTTTAGTATATAAATATAATTGTATTATTTTTTATTCTTCAACGATTGCCACTTTTGTAATGTATACACAAATTACCGGTTAAAAAGATGAAGGCACAAATAATGCTGAGCGCACCGCAACAGCACACATGCAGGTTTTTACAATTCAAATCTAACCTCCAGCTGTAATCCATATTATTTCTGACATCTATTGAATTTTACATTAACTTATAGTAAATACATATAAGCGTATAGCATATTCACGTGCTTATTCTCCACCTTAAAACTCAATGGACCGATAACAAAATTAAATGGATATATTAATTACACACCCCACATTATACAACCCTTATAATAAGATTAAACTTAAGCGAACGGCTTACTTGTTTATATTTTTGGAAACTATAGTTACATATTCCGTAAATATTTTACATTTCTTTATATATTTAATGATAAGATCTTTGAAAAAGTAACTTCTCAATTTAATTTATAAGATAAACTAGTAATACTAAAAATACAGAAATGTCACAGTAGATTTTTAGTACCAGCAGTTTTATATGTAATTATCAAACATAACAAATATATTGACAAATGTGCACCAA